TTCACACCTGATAAGACGCATTGTCTTTCTATTGTACTCATCTTAAATTTATGAATAGGCAGACGTACTTTCATCTTGGCTGAGTTGCCGCCCGATCTTAGTTTTGATTTTTCACGACAAGATTCGAATCTTAAATTTTATATTATATTGGTCAAAAAAATAAATACAGACCTTGCCTGTGAGCTGGTGCAATGTTAAGTTGTAAATCGAAGGTTTAACGCAGATCCGTATATTCTAGGCAAGTTTACGAGCATGTTTGTACAGATCTTCTGCATTTGTTAACAATTTTAATTTAATATTGCCAGTAAACCCGGTGCAGTGTTCTCCCCAGAAAAATGTATCAGAGTGGCGGCTAATTTGCATATAATTTACATATCATTAGCATTTGTCTGAAGATAAAGAAAACAATAATGACAGGCTTGCATGGATGAAAATGTGTCTTTATTTTTTAACAAATTTATGTAGAAGATTAAATGAATCTGCTGCTGTGTGATTTCTATGTAATGTTGATTCTTCGGACTTTCATGGAAGCCCAGTGATCTGCAGCTTTTGAGAACGCCGTGATTTTCTTTGCTTCCCACTTCTATTAAATGACATGGCCTTCTTGTGCATCTCCGAGTGTGCGTGTTTATCGATAGCATATTTCGTAATAGTTATACATGGCATAGAATTCCATACCAAAGAACTATTTCTGGATGTTTTTAAGTTGAATTTTCCACATATGTGTCACAGCATTCCTAAAAGATAAGAAATAGGAGCGAATCAATACTTGTATTTAAAAAATATCGTCACGATCAACACGAAAATAAACAAATTGCCGCCATTTTGAAAAGTCGCTAAACTTAAAAATTGCCACGATAAACTTTACCCAACTATTTCAAAACACAATACTAGTATTAGTTACTTTGATAAATCGTAGCCAACAATTTTTGAACTTCCAGAAAGAAGGTCGTTTCCAAAAAAATGTTTCGACGATCGGCAAAAAATGAAGCCATACAAAAATTTACTAAACTAGGTCAAAACTCGTTTCCAAGTAAAACGCTACAAATAAATACTTTTTTTACCTTTGCCATCGGATGTTTCTCTCAGCCACGTATATTTTGTTGTCCATTGTGCATCAAATCTAGAGTTTATTTTTTTGCACTTTTCGTTGTAACATCATCTTGGATACGTTTAGTACCACTGCCAGGGGTACCGGTGACCGCGTTGCTGGTGGGTTTATCGCTCGCAACCAGGGGCCCAGCAGGGCGTTCTACGCGGAACCACAACGTAATATTTCTGCTGTTTGACATCGTTGCTTCTTCCAGCCAAATATGCTACTGAGAAAATACTCGCTATTACCCCAATTAAATAGGGCGAAAGTGTTTATTGTCGAAGTCCGAAGCTGTATTAGTCCATTGTCTTTGCGTAATCACTGACATGTTTCCATTCACACCTGATTTGGCTCACAGTACCGGACGCTGATGACGCTGACTAACAGATTCGCACGTGTATTAACAAGCTAAAAGAAAGAGTAACAGGAAATGCCACAGAGTAGCGGGCAATCTCTCAGAGTAGCGGCATAAATAATGGAGTAGCGGCCCCGCTACGCTAAAACGCTTTGGGGAGAACACTGCGGTGTGAGCGGATGACGATTTTTTTTATCCGATGTTCAATTCGAGTGGAATTTACAGATGGTACAAAGCTTGAAATGTTCGAAAAAAATCGGCCGCCGTAATTCGATGTTAAACATGGACTTCTTTAACATTAGCTTTCACGTTAATGGCTCTCAGGAGAAACAATACTGCTGTTCGTCCTCTTCAGGGACGGCTGAGTTGACAGTTTCAATTTCTTCAATATCAAAATCAATATCGTCTAGTTCTAAAATGTCGGGATCAACAAAATCCGAATCGAAACCAAACTTTCTCTGTTGCCTGTCCGTCGCCATTTTGTTTTCTCTTGGCGATCGTAAACAGATCATTGGGGTGTTCGGGACAAAACTAAGATGAACCGAGCTATAATCGGGCGTGACGGTGTTCGTGATCGTTTCCCGTGGACAGGAAATTATGCAGACACGATCTGGATTAACAGTAATCTGGTGGTGGCAACGCACATACATCAAAGCGGGTAAACACCGTGCAGCGTCCATCTCTCGTACGTCCATGCTACCACGGACTACTGTCTGTGCCCAATTACAGATTATATCGTTCATCATAATACATGTATTTGTTTTTTTTATTTATTCTGTGAACCGTGGATTTTGTTACAGTAACATAATATATTGCAATAATAGAAAAGTAAGCCAGTATTGCAGCAACGCATACAGTATTAACCCATTGGTTGTTTTCATCATGGAAGTTAGCTTCCATGTTTTCATCATACACTTCCGGTCGCTGCTGTTTGGATTAGACTCGCTTCGGTCCCTGAGGGGTGCAAAACTAGGAATTTTATCTCTTTCTTTCTATGTATAATGCACGAATGAGTACATTACCTGATTATCGGGCACCCATGGTGGCTCTTCCAGCTCAAAAGGACTTTTAAACTTATCAATAACGCTAACCATTCTCAATCCACTTTTTGAACGTACAAGCTTCTTGTCTCCTGGTGCCGCCATTTTACCAATTCGCTCTGTTCGTTGTATGTTTCCTCCAATTGCAAAATTGATGTAAACAAGCACGATTTTGGAAATGTTATGAATGACTGAATAAATAAATAAATAAATAAATCCAACAATTACCCATACTTTGCAGTAATTTTTGCATTTATTCAGTGAAAAACTTGATATCTTTCATGTCTGTCAGTTTTAATTTTAAGACAATGATTACTAACTCTAAATCTAGTACAGGTCATACGTTGCTGAACATTAGTGATATCAACAAGGTAGCTTTCAGTTTTGAACTTGTTTTTAAACTTTCTGTATGTCCTTAACTTATTAGAGGAACCAATTTGCTTTTTATTGTCATTTTTGATATAATTTCCCCACTGTTTTTCAAATATCATGCATGTAGTAGAAAGTATCTCACTTGAGGATATAATTTGGTTATAATCAATACTGCTCAGCAGTTTCTCAATTGTTTGAAACCATTTTCTCTTGTTGTTTTATTAACAATGTAGACATCTTTTAATAAATGTATTTGATGATTTTTTCCCCCTCATTTGTAGGAATCTGAAAAACGCGTTTCACACCTTGTATTGAATTTTAAGCCGTATTCAACTTCAAGATGGCGGTCCACATATACTAGTAGTTAATATCGCAGTTGTGCGCCAGTTGACTTTGGGCTGTTCTATCATCGTATATCATTTTTTTCATTTATGTAACCACAGTCCCGGGATAGAGGGACTGTGATGTAACTCAACTGACTCGAAGTTTCTGAGTTGCGCCATCTATCGACAACTTCAGGTATGTCGATGGGCATAAATGTATGCTTACTGGTATATTATAAGATAATATACAATTTTATTGCAACCACTTAGAAAATTTAACAATTCTAATTTGGTACAAAGCAAAATAAAGTTATAAGATTATAAAATACTACAAAATTGATCAATGTTAACATGCATAAAAATATTGATAATTATGAATCTAATTAGTTCTTTAAATAAACATATTTTTTTATCTGAAACTGTATTGTCACCTGACAATGTTTCTAAACAATAACATCACAATAAACCTACACAATAGAGTACATATTTTGTGCATATTTTGAGCCTGTACCAATGTTAAGACTCATAACACAAGAACTTCATCTGTAATAATCTTGAATCCCGATAATTAGATAGGCGAGGTATGTTCTCAGATTTAGATGTCGGCAGGTAGTAGATTACCTACAACCATAGACCTTAAAAATACATTTTATTTTAAGGACTATGCTACAACAAATAATTTAATCTCAGTTAACACATAACAGATAACAACAAAATTTGCTACAATTGCAGATCAATTTGTCAGTTTACTCGGTGCGTTTGATGAAATATTAGTTTTATAGAGAAAATCTGTGTGAACCGTGACGGGCTATGATTTAGTGTGTATACGTATTGCCGTAAACAAGGCGGCTATGATTTAGTGTGTATACGTATTGCCGTAAACAAGACGGCTATGATTTAGTGTGTATACGTATTGCCGTAAACAAGAGATGCGTAGCCCAGATATTACGACGATCTTATTAAGGGGGGCAAAGGTTATTTTCGTTCAACGTAATTGCAATATTTTTTTGTTCGTACAACGTAAATTGAAAAAATAAATTCAGTAATTCTGTAATCACAGGCTAGACGTACAACGTAATCAATCAAATATTTTTCTCGTACACTGTAAAAATGTATAACTTTTCTCGGTACGTACAAGAATTTATATCCAAATAAAAAAATCGTAAAGAATAATTCAGGGAAATTACATTTTCGAAACTGTAAAACGACTAGATGATACAATTCACTGCAAAATTCAATTTTCACTGTAAACTGTAAAAACGTCTTTTTTGTCTTGTAAATTGTAAAAAGCCCATTTTATTTCCTGTAAAACTGTACCAGCTACCCCCTTGCCCTCCCTCTATTAATAATAACCACAGCTGTACAGTACGGCATATTGGCCAAAAAGCACGTGCAGTCTTGTGCACCTCAGCTAATCCTTTAACTTTTTTTTACTGTTAAGTCTTGATATTTTGATGTATGTAAAGTCATATGGAGAATAAAATGTCAATGAAAAACAAAAATAAGTACAATATTCAGTAACTGTAATGTATTGTGCCGGATATTGTGATATTATGAACGAACATACAATAATGTTTTGTGTTTGTGATATAAATAAACGAATATAAAATGTAATTATCATTTGACCGCCATGCGGCGCAATTCAGGATTATCTTTTGTGCGCAGACGGATGCGCACTACAAAGTCGGCGGATTCTGTATAAAATATTGTTTTCTTCCGTGACTGCGATGTAAACATTCAAGAAAATGGTATGAAAATGAGCGTGTTTGTCTATATTTTGTTTTATTGAAGATCTAAACAGCCACTCGTCGTCAGCTATGTATTCTGATTGGGCATCTCTTCAAACAGCAATTCAAAATGATAAAAGTAATGTCAGCGTCTTGCAGTCGTACCCATCTGGGGTTGGAAAGGAGGTGGCCGTATCAGTGGTTAAACATCTCGCATCCACCATTAGTTTGGCAGCAACCAGTTCTCACTCAGCGGTTAAAGACAGTAATTTGGAAACGGAGAAGCAAGTACACTGGACAATGGAGGTAGAAAGAATTCATCTGTCACATTAAACTGCATGTCTTGAGAGCTATGGTATTTTTACTGGATTGTATTGGTAGCGGATCTCCGACAACCCATCCACTCATAATGATAAACTCCAGGGTTGTGTCACATGCCTTAGCTTTTTAACCAATGGATCACACTTCAACTGCCCCTCCCTCCTCCACTAATCTATAATCAGGTTATATTTTTAAAATACGTGGATTCTTATTAATATCATCTCATTATTTGTTACATAAATCACAGTCCCTCTATGGAGGGACTGTGACAATGACAATGACAATTCTATCATGATGGACGGACTGTGCATAAACCATAACAAGGTACATTGGAATGACACCTCCCTTCTAGATGAGTGTATCTGTGTGTTTTTTTTAAAAAAATATTAATTTATTTAAAAACACTCGCACATCTTTCCTACAGGCTTTTCATTTTCTTGGAAGAAGTATTTTTTTCTGTTTTGGTGTTTTCATTTTCAGACAAAGTTTTGAAAACACTCTATGAACAAAATAAGTTTGGGTGCAATTAAATCATATCTCCAGTTTCATTTTGTGTTGGTCAGTGTCAAGATTTCACAATTTCTCTAATGGTATTTGATTTTTTGATACACATAATGTTTTGTTTTTGTAATGTTTATTTTGTCTTTACCATACAGTACAGTATTATTATTTATTCATTTTTGGAACTGCATGTACATGTACTTTTCAGTTCCGATTCTTGATGGCAGTTTTTATGAAAATGCATCACCGCAATAGTTTTCCCAAACATCAAACCAGAAATAATGAACACCTGGAGATCGTTATGCGATTAGAACAAGCATGTTTCACCTAACAGTTCTCTTCATGTAAGGATCTCGAGATGTGAATTGCAAACCAGTCAGCAACCTATAGCTCTGGCATTGTGCTGTTTTGGTGTTCGTAAAAATATAATGTTAATGCTGATGTGTCAATCATGATTTTCACTGCACTGAAACAAAAAAAAAACATTCTATCATTCTATTTAACTTATCTAACTCCCTTGTTTCCTGTATAGGTTGTGTGTTTTGGTCTAAGTCTGCCTCTCTCAGAGCATGATGCCATTCGAGACTGTGTTAATGTATACTGTGAATGGTTATCTGTTTTGACCATACCAAAGTCATCCATACCTGAACCAATTCTACGAGATCCCAATCCACACTGCCAAAGAATATTTCATCATTTGGTCAATTTATTTGAGCCAAGAGAACATGGTAAGTTTAATTTAGCATGAATGTGTCATATTTTGGGAGTTCACCAGAACCAAATAATCATCGATTGCTTGTACAATCAAATGTTTTCATGCCCGCTACGAATACAGATCAGCCTCATTTAGACATGCGCTCTATACTTAAATTTGTATCCTTTTAATTTGTGCTGTAACTTTTTATGCAGAACATAATACGGTAGCAATAGCAACACGTTAATACAATTTTCACCTAGACATAAATGTAATTACAGGATGGCATTAGTGACTCGATACTCAAGTTCATGTCTTTGATTGGATAGCTTCTTAACTCTGTGTCAGTGCAAGCTTGCCAGATTGCAATGCTTTCAGTTAATAATTTTAAATTTTCTGATTATACAGTATCTTAATTATTCTATCAACAAACTGTTGTTCTGTGCATGAAATTCTTATTAAATTCTTATTATCCTATTATTTCACGCTCTTGAAAAATAAATTATTTTTACTACCATGTTAATTTTTACAAATTAATTATTTGTTTTTGTGGCACCAAAAGATTGCTCATGGGTGATATTTTGCAGTGATATTGAAGATTAATATGGTACACTGTAGCCTCGTTATAACAAACTCTTTGGGGGACATACAATTAGTTTGTTATAGTGAAATGTTCACTATAATGAAGTATATAGTACATTGGGTTTGTTGTGAGCGGGAGACATGCTATGTGTTCATTATATCAGGGAATTCATTATAAAGGTGTTCATTATATCGAGGTTACAGTGTAGTTGGTTTTATGTGAATCAACTCATTCATGTTCATATTTATTAGTTTAAATATTGTGTCTTATTGCTAATGCAAAATCACCACAATATAAACACATTACAATATAGCAACATTAAGAATATAATATTGCTATGTATCAAGCTGTTTTATACATTTATACCAGGGATTTTTTTAAACAAGGGAACAGGGGCGCACCATCCTCATGCCATGGCCATGCGCCCCTTACCCTAGGGTGCAGATCCTCTGGCAACCATAAAATTCTGATTGACCAGGGTTCACATGTGGCCACAGTCTCCAACTGTGGCCCTAAGAAAGTCATAGAATGCTTTATTTTAACTTAGAATTATCAAAAACTCCACACCCTGGTAAAGAGAACCTTATCTCCTCCAATTGATGGCGCTGCTGAATTGCAGTGCTCCTTCTTGCAGTTTTTTTCCAGAAAAAACCCTGGATACAGTGTAGCATAGTGGATTTCAATCATTTTGGACCAAAATGAGCTTAACTTTGTGCTTTCTTCTCACTCGGGAATTCATTATTACATGTAGTTCCTTTTTAGACGAAGCCCGAAAACAGCGACCTTTGTGCGTGCATCCGTGTGTGCGTGTGGACGACCATCCGTATTTTGCTCATGTTTGGACTGATTGAACCTTGACATTTTCATCAGACATTATATTGGACATATGCATGTGTATTTCTTCCATGATTTCATTCAAGATGGCTGAATGGCAGATATTTTAATGCAAAAAATGCATCACACTTTTCACCACTCTAGAACCAGATCTCAGTCGTGCATGGGCAGATTCTGTTCAAACATACATTGAACATCATGTGATCTTGATGCACATACATGTAGTTATATTTTTCGGATTAGCAGACTGTCGGCCATTTTGTTGGCCACAAATACAGTTTTGGTTCAATAAATCTAAAATGCCTGAACCGTTCAAGTTCAAACTTCACAGATACACCAGACATTATATCGAACATTATATCTCCCTTTTTCTCCATTTTGAAACCAGATCTCAAATACAATGGGACCTTGATGTATGTCTTTTTATTTTTGGATTAACCTCAAAATGACTGACTATTGGCCATTATATTTTAACAAATACAGTTGCAGGTTCACAACTCTAACATGCTTTGAATGAGTACATTCAAACTACACATATATCATACAACATATCATACATAAACACATGCATTTGTTTCATAGTCCAATTCAAGATGGCTGTATGCTAAAAAATCATCAAAATCAGCATTTTTGCCTATTCCGGAACTGGATCTCGGCT